TTAGAGGTTCAGACTTTGTCTTCGAGTCATTTGTTCTTGAATCAGCATAATTATCTTCAATCTAGCCGTTGAAAATCAAGAGATTGATTTTTCCTTACCAACGGGTAGAATTTCTTCATTCAAGACTTAGATAATCTTCTAAGTCTTTTCTCACCTGTCCGCTTTTTGAGAATTCCGGTCTTCCTTGAGGCATCCGGTTCTTAGCTGACAAATCCGGAGGAGTCATTCTCAGACTTCCGGGTGAGAAAGAGATCCGCGCTAGTCTTCCGATTTGGGTGACTTAGCCTTCAGCGGGTTGTAGCGAGACATCTGGTTCTTATGTAGTCTTTTGGATCAGAGGATTTTCATCTGCTTGAGAAATCCTTACTTGTCTCTAGCATTTCCGATCAAGATATCCAATTTCCATATCACTGAATTTGATTAAGTCTTCAGGCATCAAAACGCTTAAAGAAATATCACAACCTTATTGGAAATCTCAAGAACTTGGTTTTAACAATATTTCTAAAAAGAAAATTACATTGAATATTGGGGGAGACCTAAAGTCCCTATTACATTCTAAATACATCATCATCAAAATCTATGATATTTTTCCCAACACATAATATATTCTCTCTTTTATAAACTTTTTCTATAGTGGAAGTATGTTTTCATGCTTGAATAGAGAGTTGGGGTTCTAAGGTATATTTCAAAACGGGCCTTTGAATTGCATGACTCCGGGCCGTGTGGAGAGTTGACAATCCTCCATATCGTGGTTAAGGAAATGAATCAACTCAGCCTTTGATTGTTTTTTTTATTCTTAAGTGCATAAGTTACGTAATATATGGTCTACGTGCCTATTATACATGTAATGTTCGTTCTCTTTTTAATTTTGTTTCGGGTTTTTGGCGGTGTTTCTTGGGTTACCTAAGTTGGAAAAGTTGATAATCTTTTGAGCTTGTTTTCCCCCATTTAATCAAAAAACCAAAAAAATAAGAAAATATAAAAAACCAAATTCTGGCCCGGCATGAAGGGTAGTTGATATAAAAAAGAAAAAATGAAAGGAAAATAAGGGTAGTTGATTGACCTTTCTCCTTCTTCTTCTTCGCCGGGCGTGAAGGAACGGCGGTGGCTGTGGCCAGGGCTTTGGATCCCCTCGCCCGGCTGATGGGGATGGCTTCGGGAATCACCCCAGTCAGGACAATCTCCGGATCAGGGTCAGTCTCCCGGCCGGGGTAGACGCTCCACTTCCCGACATGGTAAAGACCGCGGGTGGAGGCATCCCTGGCCCGGAGAGTGGTTTCCCAGGCAACCAGGTCATCGGCCTATGTAGGTTTGACCTGGCGCTTCATTCTTTTCCCCCAGACATTTTGGGCAAAAGGAAAGGCAACCGGGGGGAATTTGATGCAGACGTATTTGTCCTTCCACCTCTTGTTGGAGGGAGGAAGGCCACAGAGAAATGCCCGGCCTTGGTGAGAAGACACCACCACGAATCCAAGGGTCTCCTTGGACCCGGGCCGGACATCGAACATATGGTCAAAGAGACGAAGGGAAAGAGGAATACAGAGGAACCGACAGACATTGATGAAGCTGCCCAACAAACGGTGACCATTAGGGGCCAGCTGCCTGGGCATGATACCGTATGTTTCAAGGAAGAGGACTTTGAATGGGTGAATGGAGAATTCGCCCAGGTCCTTGATTGAGTGGTAATGGATACCAATCGACGTACCGGCGTGGAGAGGAATAATGCTCTTCCACGTTGCCCGGTAAGTTAATTGGTACCCATCCGGCATCAGGTTGCGCACCTCGTGGACCTGGGCCTTCTGCATGACCGACGATTGCGTTTGGAGCAACCGGTCGTCCAGCAGAACGAAGCCCTCATCCCCAGGTTGGGCAACTGAGATCACTTGCGCCACGGAAGAAGAAGGAGCACAAGTGGAAGCATCAACCGGCTTCTTCTATGGAGAAGTAGTCGGGCGCTTAGAATCAGAGGATGAAGAAGAGGAGGAATCGGAGGTCTGAGCCCGGTCACCAGAACCATAAGAATGGGCGGAAGGGTTCTGGCTGTCTTCGTGGTCAGACATGACTCGAGGAAGAAGAAAGAAAGAGACTTACTTGGAATAAGAGGACTCGGAGGACTCGGAAGTAGTAGAAGCAGCCGGGCGGTTTTTTAAATCGAAGATTTGCAAGTGAAGAAATCCTAGGGAGGACATCGCTTTATATAGGAGAGAGGCCGCCCGAACGGACAAACGAAAGAATGACACGTGGCAGCTGAAATGATTTGCCATCATAACTTCTCGGGGAGACGAAACGGCACAATAAATCGGCGGCTCCGTACCCGACTTCGAGAAGATTCTCCCGCTTTGGACACCCGGTTTTTGAAATTGCAAAATTCAAATTTCAAATTTCAAATATTTTGGGTTGGCGCTGGTTTTCCGATATGATTTTCCCGCCAAAAAGCGACTGGGCAGTTCAAATTCCAGGAAATGATCGCATGTGCTTCCCGCCCCTGATGGTCCCCACAGGACCGGGAATCGGAGGACTCCTAACCCAAGGATACCACTCGGTTGGTTCACCGGACTGGGTGGTGATGGAAGTAACAGCACACGTCTTTCTCAGCCCGGGTTTTTTGACCGGTTGGATGGGGAGACCAGACACCAATGCCCGAAGATCTGCTTTCAAAGTACACCTGGTGGGCCGGTCAGCAGCCTGACCGGTTGGATAATCAGAGACGTGCTTGACATGCTTAGGATTATTATAAATACCCCAAAAAGCCTCATTTGTGAGACATGCTTTAATTAACCTGCACGGCTTGTATTTGTAATAACTCTATTTATCATTAATAACAAATCGGGTTATAGGTGTTTCCACCTACAACCCTTCCGATTACTCATACTTAGTATTTGCGTGATAATTTACACCATCAATGATGATAATAATAATAATAATTTATAACAACAAATTTAAGATAAATTTTTTAAAAGTTTTTTTTAAGATTTTCCAATTTTTTGAAGTTTTTCTAGTTTCTTACAGTTTTTTCCAGATTTTTCTAATTTCTTCTAGTTTCTTACAGTTTTTTTCCAGTTCCTTCCAACATCCCGCTCTCTTTTTCCCGTCCTAAAGAACATGCTCTTATTCTAGAGTAGGGCTGGGGAGTGAGTAAGAACAGCAAGAGCACTGGCCGTATGAAAAAGACTTTGCCAATATGACACAAAGCTGCCACATACCAATCATTAATTAATGTGTCAAGCTCCTAACTAGACATTTGGCTCCGCCAGGGTATGAATTGGACGGAGGAGGAGCTGCCAAACCTTGTGTTTCTTCTCCGTCGGAGTGAATCTTCTCCATCTCCCCAGGTATTGGGGGTGTCTGGTATATAAAATGGACTCATTGGTTTGTGATTTATTTGCATCATTTACAGCTGCACCTGATTAGATCTTCGAATTTCATATTGTTGGCGCTTTAGGCGAATTATTTGTGTGCCTGTTTCCATTTATAGCAAGCTTTATGTGGTTCCAGTTTTAACTTCCTTTACCATTGTGCCCAGCCTAACAAAGCACAACAAATTGGGAGGAAGAAAGTATTATTCTGGGCTATAAAGGATGTAGAACTATATGCTGCACCCTGGTGGAAAGCGGCAATCTGTTTCCCCCTGTATATATGCATGTTATTGTTTTTCAATTTGAGTGGTTAGGACATTTTCTGATGCATTTATTTTGATGATGATGAAGAAGAAGAAACACATGATTCTACATGGGAAACACTGTAAACCGGGAGATGAAGTTTCTGAACCTCATTGTACCCCCATGTCTGATACCCACAATGTATCATCAGGTGAGTCATTAAAACACTTGCTGGTAGATGGTTGCTTATCAGGCTCTGAGCCTAACAACTTTCCTGATTTTTACATAAATTTACAGAACAATCCCCGGAAGTTTCTCCACATCCCATTAAATGTAGTTCATTCAGTTTTGATGCTCATATTCAGCAACCTCAGAGCAGTTTCTCTCGTTCTTTGTTTTGTACTAGTTTGCACTTGTCGTCTTCATCTAGTTTAGAAACTACCCTTCGTCTACAGAGTTTGCCATTTCTTCCGGATCCTTCACCTAGGAAGCTTCTGAATTTCACCAATCTGTCTTCAGACTCATCATCATTTGTTCAAAGAGACTCATCTCTTGTTCAAAGTTGTCAGGGCCCTTCCGAGGGTAGTTTGAGAAGTTCCCAAAATATTCACGGAGGCAGTTCAGATGGAAGTGTTAATCATGAACACTGTGGACTTGATAGTTTACATCTTACTGAGCAAATGGAGTTGCAATTATTGTCGGATGAACTTCACATTGTGATTGGTGGCGATGGAGAGAACCCGCGGATTGATGTAAGTATTGAGAAAATTTTATATGTTCCGAGATACAAACACCGACTTTATTGATAGGATGCTTTATACAAAAAATCATTTCTGATCCCTACCTGAGACAAATATACTATGGCATAACTTCTAGGCTTTGGTTCAAAAGTGAAGAGGGTAGGGTAGGAGAAATGTGGAGCAGGGAGGGGAGGAACATGGAAGAGTTTATAGAGTGTTTTGTTTGGTTCAATGAAGGAGTGGTGCTGAATCATTACGAAGGATTATAGAAAAATATTACTCCTTCTGTCCCATAAAAAGACTCCTATTTCACAAATGTACAACATTTTAGCCTTAGTGAAGTAGAACTTGTGAGAATAATCAAATATAACTGTTTTTCTTTTATTGATGGTTTAAGTAAATTTAACTAGTTTGACATATTTTTTGTTATTTAAAAGTGTTAGCATCTTCTCTTGAAATTAAACCCTTTTGATTTATGGGGCATCTTTCGACGCTGAGCTGGGGGTCTATTTGGAAACAGCCTCTCAACTTTCGAGTAGAGGCAAGGTCTGCGCACACACACCCTCCCCAGACCCTACTCTTGTAGGATTCAACTGGGTTGTTGTTGTTGTTGTTAACTTATGGGGAAAAATGTGTAGAGAAACACGATTCTTTTTGTGGGACGAAGGGAGCATATCTTTTAATATTTCATACTACCTTTGTTTTACTATCTATGGCCCTTTTTACCATTTTTGTTTGCCCCAGATTCTTCGTCCTTTCCGAGATCTGTCACCTTTGTTTGATCCAAAATGATCCTTAGTTTATCAATGCTTTATATATGGTTATCAACCACACAATTTCATTTTTCCTTATTTTGAATGTCAACGCCCATGTACCAAACTTAGTAGGATGGATAGTGTATAATTATTGTTATATGAGGAGTTCGGAGGAGTATAGCTTCTCTACTTTCCTCCCATAACTCTTCCAACCTAGTGCAATCTCTCCTTCATTCCACCACCCCCCTCCCCTTCCACCCAAAAAGCTCATACGCCTCATAGTCTTCAACCAGACAAGGGCTTAGTGGTTAGATAGTTTAGTCTTACTGGCTATGAAATCTGAACACTTTGAGCTGGGAACCCGGGGTCCATTTTCTAATAATCTTATACAGCCTCTAATTTCAAAAGCTTATTTTAGCTCAATGAATTTTGACTTTCTTCATTCAGATTACCTATTTATTGTTTATGCTATTTGGAACTCAATAGTGGAGCTCCAAATGCGGAATTACAGTTTATCAAGGGCTTTCCCCTTAGGCCAAGCTTAAATAGCCAATTGCAGCGTTAGTGGTTTTTGATTAGTACGTAGTAGTACTTACATCCTTCGATTGGTATGAAATGTTTTGGACTTAGGAAATATATGAAGAACCACAAGCATTAATTCAGGTATGCAGTGATATGACTGCAAACCAGAATAACATCTCCTGTACATTGCCTAGTGATAAACTATCAGCTCAGCAATCTGTTGGCTCACATAAACAACGGATGAGATGGACGCCTGAGCTTCATGATTGTTTTATGGAGGCTGTCAAGAAACTTGATGGACCTGAAAGTACGTTATGTTTCTTTGCCAAAATTTTCTTCTACTGCTTGTCCAAGTTCAAAATTTTTCATCTCATTTAAGAGCAAATCAGCCTGTGCTTATATTTCATATTGTAATATATGTAGAGGCAACCCCAAAGGCTGTTTTGAAACTAATGAATGTTGAAGGTTTGACTATCTATCATGTGAAAAGCCACCTCCAGGTAAATTATAAGGCTCCCTTGCGTATCTAATGTTTAATGTTAATAAATATATGCGAACAATTATTTAAAATATTTTATGCAGAAATACAGACTTGCAAAGTATATGCCCGAAAGAAGTGAAGGTAATACATTTGTCGCTGACATCTTTTGTTACAGGTTTTGTTTGGCATCATATTTTTTTTAATGATAAGACTCATCTAATCAAGAAGCTATTTAAAGCAATATAGCATGGACTAAGGAAATGTTAATCTAATCTTAAGGGACCCGTTTAATTTCCTTTGAGGCACTAATTGCATATTTTCTCACATGTTCTTCACAATCCTCTAAATATGTCATTCTACCGTTTTCCTGATATTTTTTTCATTAAGTGTTGATAGAGACGAATTTCACTTTCCCATATCTTAGATTGTCGGTTTGTAAGTTATTATGAAGAACTCTGCATCAACTTTTTTAGAGTAGTTCTACAGCCAAGAGTTGGTACAACTGATTCAATGGAGGGATTTATGCTCACTAATTAGAAATGAATTGCTCACTAATATTATGTACTCGGTAAGAACAAATGAGTTGCTCACTAAGTGCATTGTCATTATTCATTAAAAAAACCTATATGCTCAGTGCTACCTATTTTATAAGTTATTCACTAAGTGCATCTTCAGTGCTCATTATTCATAACTAGAAAGGAATTGCTCAAGTAAGAAATGAAAGGTGGATTTACACTATTTTTCAGAGTAGGATAAATTTTCTGCACTGCTTAACCTTTTCCCACACAGCTATGTGATTGTATTATAAATTACTGCATTTTTAA